GACCTTGAGGTTAGCATCCTGATTCATAACCAGTATGCTACCAGAGCTCCTTCATATATGTATGTTGTTATATGTAGATAAGGAATAAAAATTCTTCCAGGGCCTCAAGTGCTTATGATACTTAATGGGTTCCACATTCTGGTTATTTGAGAGCAGAAAGTAAGTTCAAGACACACACACTCGGTTCCTACACAGCAGGGGGATTCTACAGGTTTCTTTCTCAAGAGCTCAAATGTAATAATTGTGGCACTTACACCAGAAAGTTAAAAAATGAGAAAAACAACAACAACAACAAACTATTGCATGGTCCTTGGGGGAGAGGCACTAGGTCAAACTGCTAACCCTTCAGGAAGAGGTGTTACCTGTTCCGATGAGAGTCAATGGCTCTGACCTCAGAGACTGACTCGGGTAGGGAAAGGACATGGAGGACAAGAGAGCCACAAGCCACGGACAGTTTGAAGAGGAATTTTATATCTTGCTCCCTTATTCTCTGTATTGTATTTTTCTCCCTCCCAGTGGATCTGGTCTAAGCAACTCCATACATAAACACTGTCTGAAAAACACGAGGGCAAAAAAGGCAAGCCTGTATATTAACTGTGCCCTCCGATAAGAGGGGGGTCTCAAAAAAGTTTGTGGAAATGTTCCTTTACCTTTCAGTTTCGTCTTTATACAAACTTTGTGAAGCCACCTCATGTTATCTTATACAAAAGCACAGAGGGCCCAAATGACTCAGAGAACGACCAAAGCAGGTTTGTAGGGGTTTCTACAAACTCCAACCTCCTCAGATTAATCTAGAAACTTAGGGGTGAAGAAGGGCATGAAGGGTAGAACCACAGGGGAACAGAGGCCAGCCATAAGTTATCCTGGATGAGCGCCGGATAAACAGGAACGAACGGATGTCTTCATGAACCTCTTCTTCTGGCCTGTCAAAAAGCAAGTTCAGGTTTGGATGGTAGGGGACAGAGTTGACGAGGAGGCAGAACACTGCATGAAGAGAGGACCAAGCAAATGAGAGAAGAGCAGCAGCAACAGAAAACCAAACAAACCCTGCAACACACCTGATGGGGGATGAGTCGCTGGACGTAGATGAGGTGGGCATAGGGCTGGATGTCGCCGAGAACATGGGCCAAGATGGCGAGAGGGGTGATGTTGGACTTGGATTCGGGGGGCTGCAAGACATAACAACCAGAAAACTTGTCAGCACAGAGGGAAACCATGCAGGGAGCACAGGAGGTCCAAGGAGCCAAATGACAGGGAGTTGGAGCCGTCCAGATAAGCACTGAGACCTAGGGCCGTGTGGTCAGTGCCAAGTCACATTTCTCTAAACGAAACCTCCGTGTCTTCCAAGTAATGCTTGCTCTGACATTCCTCAGAGCATAAACATGCCTCTTTGCCCCTGCAGAACAACTGCTTTCTAGGTAGGAGCTCCCTGTATCTTGTCAATTGTGTACCTGGCCATCAGCTAACTCCCCTGAAACCATGCGAATTCATTCCTACACTTTTATCATATCTCCAGCTTCCATTCTCAGGCCAAGCCTCCTTATATAACAAGTCTTTTGCGTCCACTATTATATGAGTGTTTTTAAAGTTGTTTCTCAGCAAAAATGACATTTTTCTCTCTCTCTCTTTTCTGGGCTACACAGGCCATTTGGCGAGGAAACAATTTCCTGTTTACATTTTTTACTAAATGGGCTCAGTACTGTTAGGGACCCAAAGTACTGTATTAGAAAGACGATCTCGACTGGAGGGTGGGCATGAGTGCATGTCCCTCAGGAGACGGGATGCCCCCAACAGGCTGGGTGCTGTTCCCCGAGGTCTGCTCTCCAGGCCTGCCCTTCTTCTTGTGTGGAGTTTAGTCATTCTGATGCTCCAGGAAAAAACCCCAGAAGGAAGGATAAAGAAAAAAAGAGGAACTGAAACATTAAATCTGTCCACTTAGTTCTTTGATGAGTGGCTGATCAAATGTTTGGAGAGGAAAGGTTGAAATTACTCACAAAAATATGGCTTGTGGGTGTTAATGGGTTATGCTGGGCCTTTGGTTTATTTCTATAAATTATACAAACAGGCAAACATAAACATCTTAGCAACCCTGAAAAATCATATTAAGTCTTAAATACTGCTAACACCGATTGCCAACACAATAGGCAGTTCCCAGACCTCACTGACTGCTGAATTGTCTGAAACATACAATTTATGGAGGTGAAAATGATGGTAATTTAATTCAAGGGCAACAGGCTTTCTAAACACAGTGGGGTTTAGCAAGGACACATAAATGTCCTACTTGATAGGACATCCCTAGAGTTACGACAACTCATACATGAGATTCAATTACGGTCATGTCTATCTATGGCTGTAACATACATATCTATGGAAATAAACAGTAAAAACCCATCAAGTGAGTGCATCAGACTTCCTCAGGCTAATTCAAATAAACATTTATGAAAAGCCATTATGTGCATCATACATATTTCTCAAGTATAAGCCCTATACCAAACCAAACCCAATGCTATCAAATCAATTCCAACTCAAAGCAACTCTACCAGACGAAATACAAGTACAGGATTTCCAAGGCTGTAAATCTTTATGTAAACAGACTGCCACACCTTTCTCCCATGGAGCAGCTAGTAGGATTGAACTACCGACCTTTGGGTTAGCAGCCAAGTGCTTAACCACTGCATCACCAGAGCCCCTTATAAGTCCAATAAGGACAGGGATTTTGTCCATTTCATTTTACTGCTTTATCTATAATGCCTAAAATGGTGACTATAATTGATTGCTATTCAATATATACTTGTTGAATGAATAAATTAATGTAATTTAACACACCCAACACATCCATGAAATAGGCACTATTAGAATTCCCATGTCACAGATGTAGAGACTTAGGCTACACTGAGGCTTGTCTGGGAATGACAGAGCTGAGGTTCCAACTCAAGTCCTCTGGCTTCTACGCAAGGGCCCTTGTCACCAGTGTGCTGCCTCTTAGGTAGTAGGATTTTTTGTTCCTCTAGGTTATGCAAGTTTCTTTACAGACCGGACCATAATACTGGAAGCTTTCTTAACCACTGATGTAGGAGTCCTTAGGTGCCTGCCATAGTCACAGGGGAAAAGGGAATACAGCAACAGGCAGGTTCAATAATGTGAAGTCAAAATCCCCATCCTGCCTCCAGTCTTCTGGGTGCTGAATTCCTAAAGCAGACATAATTCATACAACATAAGAAATAAAATCTAAAGACTATGACTCCTTTACTCCCCCCATCCTAATAGATGCATCAAAGACTAGTTATTGAACACGCAGTAGGATCAGGACAATAGGTGGAATACAGTCTAGCTAACAAGGGTCCCTGACTTCAAGAGCTTATAACTTACTTGACAACATAGGACAGATTTCACACACAGACCAATTGTAATATTAGACTGTACTATTGATCAGCGGGGCGATAAGTTACTCTATTATTAGTTTGATTCCTTTTCCCACTTGACTCTGTCAAATCCTAGCTGTTCTTAGTTGGAGAGGAAAAGTTGTTCTTAGTGTCTTTCCTACTTGCTGCTGGTAAAAGAGGTCTCCTTTTCTCAGTCCTCTTGCCACAATTCCACCCAGCTAGATAATGATCTAGTAGGCAAGGCCTAGCATTCACTTCTATCTGCAGCCCAACCCAGGAAGCAGAGTTCCGACCAGGGACAATCTGGATGTTGAAGAGAGTAGCCCAGGCTCAGTGGCCACGACTAATCTGTTCCTCTGGTCAGTGGTTACCACAGGATAATTAAAAAGTCCTAGGACTTTATAGTTTTCTTCTTTCTTTTTTTTTTAATGGTTTTTAAAGTAGGAAATAGCTCCAGCTTCTTATCCCATCTGTACCAGCAATTATGCCTTTGGATAAAGACATGGTTGGGAACATATTCTATGAACACAATGTGGGTTCTAAATGTTTTTCACGTCCTTGGATAGCTCAGTGGTTCTTGGCCAGTAATACAAGGCTGAAATAATCTGGGGGAGGTGGGGTGGGAATGTAGGGTATTCATAATTACTCTAAGGATTTACTCTTCAATCCCCACGGCAACTGCTATTGTATCATTCCAATCTATAAGGACTATAATTTGTTCTGCTTGTTTGTGTTTCAGTTAGAGCAATAACATTTGTGGTTGTTGTTAGGTGCCAACAAGTTCGTTCTGACTCATAGCGGCCCCATGTGCAACAGAAAGTGCGCCATCCTTGCAGTCATTGCTGTGTGAGCCCATTGTTGTAGCCACTGTGTCAATTCAACTCATTGAGGGTCTTCCTCTTTTTCACTGACTCTCTGTTTTTCTAAGCATGGCGTTCTCCAGGGAGCTATCCCTCCTGATAATATGTCCCAAGTCTATGAGAGGAAGTCTTATCATCCTCCTTTGAAGGAGCATTCTGGCTGTACTTCTTCTAAGATAAGAGCTGTTGGTTCTTCTGGCAGTCCATGGTATAGTCAATATTCTTAACCAACACCATAATTCAAATGCAACAATTCTTCTTCAATCTTCTTTATTCACTGTCCACATTTCACACACACATATGAGGCAACTGAAAATGTCATGGCTTGGGTCAGACACATTTTAGTACTCATGTTTGATTTCTAACACTTTAAAGAAGTCTTTTGTAGCATATTTTCCCAATGCAATATGCTATTTGATTTATTGACTGCTGCTTACATGAGTAAAATGAAATCTTTGACAACTTTACTCTCTTCTCTATTTATCATAATTTTTGCTTTCTTTATGTTGCAGTGTAATCTGTATGGGAGATATCTTAGGCTGGGTTCTCTAGAGAAACAAAACGAGTTCTCTCTCTC